GTAGCAAAATGATATAACTGGACTTATACCTTTTGAAGAAACAACGTTGATCGGCGTTGCACTTCGGAAACTCTCCTTGTGCATGAAGCTTTCGAACTTCTTATACCACTGTCTTGGAGCTTGTTTCGGGCCATACAAGCTCTTTTTCAATCTGCACACCAAGTTCTTCTTTCCTTCGAAAAACCTTCAGGCTGGTGCATGTAGATCTCCTCATCTAAATCTCCATGAAGAAATGCGGTCTTCACATCTAATTGCTCTAGGTAGAGCTCCTCACTAGCCACAATACTTAACACGATCCCGATAGTATTGAGCTTTACAACTGGAGCAAAGATTTCGGTGTAGTCGACTCCTTCTTTCTGCTGAAATCCTTTGACGACCAGTCGAGCTTTGTATCTCTTAAAACCATCATGGTCTTCCTTCACTCGATACACCCATTTGTTGTGAAGTGCTTTCTTTCCCATAGGTAACTTGACTAGTTCCCATGTCCGATTTGAGATTAAAGACTTCATCTCGTCTTTCATGGCAAGCTCCCACTTGCTAGCATCCGTGGCTTGACAAGCTTCCGTATAATCTTCGGGCTCCCTCCATCGATCAACAACATATAGTCCATGTATCTCCTGTTAGGCACATGAGGCCGAGAAGACCTTCTCAATACAGGAGTTGGAGTAGGAGGTTCCGCTTGCACATCAAGTTCTTCAACCGATTCCTCCGGTCGAGGACTCCTCATTATAGGACTTTCCGGGATATCTTCCACCTCCGCATAAACCGGCCCACTCGCTTCGAGTTGCTGGCACTCGTATTATGCTTGTCCTTGTACATCACTCTTTCATTGAAGATTACGTCTCTGCTGCGGATCATCTTTTTGTTTTCATCGTCCCATATGCGGTAGCCAAACTCATCTTCACCATAACCAAGGAAAGTACATTTCTTTGATTTTGGATCAAGTTTGTTTCGCCTTGATCACCGATATGCGCATATGCTACACAGCCAAAAACTCTAAGATGTGAGAGTTTTACCTCTTTTCCGCTCCATACCTCTTCCGGTATCTTGTGTTCCAATGGTACCGATGGACTTCGGTTGATCAAGTAAGCTCGCTGTGTTGATCGTCCGCCCAAAACCGCTTTGGTAAGCCTGATCGCACACGCATGCTTCGGCCCTTTCGATCAACGTTCGATTCATACGCTCAGCCTACACCATTGTGTTGAGGCGTACTCGACACGGTTCTCTCCATTCCGATTCCGTGCTCATAGCAAAACTTCTTGAATTTGGTGTCTACATATTCACCACCATTGTCTGATCCGAGCTTCTTAATCTTTAATCCTGTCTCATTTTCCACCATAGCTTTCCATATCTTGAAAGCTTCAAATACTTCGACTTATATTTCAGAAAGTAAACCCATACCTTTCTGGAGTGATCATCAATGAAAGTCACGAAGTAATGCTTCCCACCAACGGATGAGACAGTCGTTGGACCCCAAACATCGAGTGGATGAGCTCAAGCTTCTCTTTCTTTGGGGTTCTTTTACTTGTCCGAAAGCCGACTCTCTTCGCTTTCCAAGTATGCAGCTCTTCACACATGTCAATATCTACCGATCGAAGACTCGGTAATTTTCCTCTCGAGTGCATGACCTTCATTCCTTTCTCACTCATATGTCCAAGTCTTTGGTGCCATATGTTGGAATTTTCATTTGTCTGCAACTCGCAATCAAATGACATGCTCCTGCAGTCTTGTAGAGAGTTCCACTCTTTTTGCCTCGAGCAATCGTCATCGCACCTTTTGAGATCTTCCATTCATCACCATGGAAGATTGTCGTATAGCCTTCACTAGCTAACCGACTCTACCGAGATTAAGCTCTTTGTCGGGTCGGGAATATGTCCGACATTTTTCAATTCCCATACGGACCCATTCGAGCTTAATCCTTATCGCACCTTTGCCTACAATCTCACATGATCTGTTCATTACCAAGGTAAACCTTACCAAGGTTTCCGGAACATAATTCTCCAACAGCTTCCTTCGTGAGGTAGCATGAAAAGAAGCTCCGAGTCTAACACCCAAGACTCCTCCCCGCCTTCAAGAGAGCATATCAACGCCTCATCTTTTCCCGAGGTGGAGGCAACGTTTGCTTCGTCCTTTGCTCCTTGATTCTTCCGTGCACTCTTGCACTCGGTTTCTGAAGTGTCCGGTCTTCCCACAATTCCAACACTCGATCGTTTTTGAGTTATGGGAACTACGATGATTTCCGGACTTGGACCGCCTGTCCTTTGATTTTCCATGTCCAATTTCTTTGGTTGAACTTCTTCCTCTTGACTCGTATGCACATCGAAGAGGTTGATGCTTCACCCGACTCTCTCCGCCGGATCTCTTCGCCGAGAACCAAATTTTGAACATCATTAAATCTTAACTTGTTGTTTCCCGATGAGCTACTCACACTCGTGACCGTAGCATTCCAACTCTCCGGTAGGGAAGACAAAAGTATTAAAGCCTCGTACTTCATCATCGAATTTGATGTCAATAGAACTCAACTCGGGTTGTTACGGTGTTGAGTTCATTGAGATGATTTGCCACCGAAGCACCTTCGGACATCCGCAGGTTGAACAATCGCCTCATCAAGTGAACTTTGTTTGAAGCCGATGGTTTCTCGTACATGTTGGAAAGAGCCTTCATGAGATCTCGAGGTCGTCTTTTCTTTCACAATGTTGAAAGCAACATTACGGGATAATGTTAGACGAATAACTCCAAGAGCCTCGTCTATCAAGGAGTCTCCATTCTTCCTCTTTCATGGTTTCCGGCTTCTCCCCGTGAGTGGTTGATGCATCTTCTTCGATACGAGATAATCCTCTATCTGCATCTTCCGAAGCCAAAGTCTCGTACCGTCGAACCTTTCGATTTTCATTTTTCCTTCGTCTGCAGACCATCACTCCAACTCGATCCGACTTATCTCGCTGGATCGTTTCGACAATTTCGTGAGCTACCGTGTTTCGTAACACGATCGCGGGCAAATTTGTAACGCCGACAAAATTTGCACTATTCACGTTTTCACTATTCACTGAATAGTAACTTACTATTCATATGAATAGTAACACCACAAAAATTACGTAACTAACAACCAGCTCCGATACCAGCTTGTTGGGAAAAATATGTCGAATCTTCCCATATGGTCGATCTCGTGAAAGTGAAATAAAAGCGGAATAATTGCACACACAAGTTGATAACGGAGTTCGGCCAATAATGCCTACGTCTCCGGACTACTACAGATCTCTTTCGGGAGAAAAGAAAATACACAAGTGTTTACAAAACACTCTCAAAGCACTCACAACTCACAACCCAATTACACCCAGAAGCTAAACTAAAACTCTCTTGTTTTTCTGCCTCTCACTGGTGCCACTCTTTCTTCTCTAAGAGAAGTAGTATTTTGTGTGGGATGGGATACTCTTGCTTGTAGGAAGAAGACCAATTTATAGCAAAAAAATTGGCACTATGCATTACATTAAAATATGTCCCATGAGCACCTCATGGTTACATAAAAAATTTGGCAGCCACCCTTGCCCACTTTCTTTGACCAATTGCAGCCACCCTTGCCCACTTTCTTTGACCAACATCGTGCACGAACCTTCGTTTGCAGTTGAAAATACTCATGGATCGTCTCCCATACCTCGTAGGAGTGAGTTGCACCAAGGACACGAGACAAAACGGATTTTGACAATGTTGACTGAAGCCATGTCAAAAGAGTTTGATCTTGAACTTCCCACATTTCAAATGCAGGATTTACGTTATCAGAAGCACCTTCGACATCGTTGAGGTAGCGTGGAGGAATCTGCTGATTGACAACAAAACGCTGAAGTTTATGGGACTTGATAACTGGTTCAACTTGTTGTTTCCAATGAAGATAATTGGAGTCATCAAGACGTTCGGTGACAGAGGTGGAAAAGGATTGAGAATTAGAAACGGTGGAAAGCGCCATGATAGAAGCTTCGAGAAGGAAGAAGATAAGCGGAAATAAAAAATTAAAGAGAAATAGGATCATTTGCTCTTGATACCATATCAGAAAAATAAAAACAGAATTGAAAACAGAGAAAATTTGTTATTCTTAATACACTCAATGAGATACATGCTTTCCTTATATATAAGGAAGATACCGTTAGACTTGAACCTTGTTCCTACATGATCTGATCAATTCGATCTAGCACTAGTCATCCATTTTCATTGTTCAACTCTTTGACAACATGAAAAAACCAAAAACTTTGCCCCTCCTCTCTATCTATCCAAGGGATGTACAACTCAGCAAATATTCTAACAGCCTAACAAACTAATGATAAAAAATATTTTTATATATTTACACATTGAGGTACACCAATAGGTTGGAAGAGAGCCTTTAGAGAGGTTTTGCTAATTTCTTGAATTGCAAGGTATATTACATTTTCCTTTTATTTATCTTGGTATATACCTTTGGGTGTTAAGCTCCAGCCAGAGCTTACTTGGAAGCCAATTTTCAGTGAATTCTCTAAGGACTTGGCTCTTGGCTCCATGGAAGAAGCATAGGTCGTTATCTTTTGGTGGAATGCTAAGCTTAGTCAATTATGTGTTGTTATCTCTACATTTTTTTTTTCTTATTCTTTTTTAAAATTCCAAGTGGGGTGAAGAAAGAAAATTCACAAGAAACGAAAATATTTCTTGTGGGGATGTGAAGAAAACAAAAGAAAAAAACATTTGGAGAGTTTGAATAAAATATGTAGACCAAGAAAATATGGAGGATTGGGAGTGAGAAATATAAAACTGTTCAATGAGTCATACTTAGCAAAATGTAGGTGGGAATTATTTTAACAAAAGGAGGCATTGTGGGGTAGAGTGCTAGAATCAAAATATGGTGGTTAGAAGGGAATATTATAGTAAGGGAGGAAGGATGCATCAAAGCATCATTATGGTGGAGAGACCTACGTAAGGTGCATGGGAGGCAAAGTTTACCTTTGGGTTTAATAATATGATGGAATGGAAAATTGGAAATGGGTTGGGATGGGAGGTTTGAGTTAGATAATTGGATGGGAGAAGGTGCCCTTGCATCATGTTATCCTACAGACTTTATGCAAATCCAGAACACCGAATGTATAGGAAGTATTAGGTGGGACGATGAGGTGTGGATACAGGACTTCAAATGGAGGAAAGGGTGGTTTGAGTGGGAAAAGGAAATGTTAGAAGCAAAAATAAGTTAGGTGGTGTTGCAAAAATATAGCAGGGACGTGTGGATATTGACTGAAAGTAATGATGGCAGATTCTCAGTCAAAGCAACATATGACGCACTAGAGCTGCTAATAAACATGCAGCAGTTGTATAGTCAGATGTATTTATTGATGAATATAGGTGGTGGAGATATATTATGTTTGGGTTCTGGTTAACTTATATTTATATGCCACTGTATTGAATATAAATAACACTATAGTTGGATATTCATTGCATATTTACTTTTTGGTGATATGTATGTTACACTTTTAGATACCTTTGGTATGATTATTGTTATATAATATCTTTATTTGCTTAGCATAATAAAAACACCTGCTAATGCTTGACAAACATAAAATTTTCAGCGTTTCAATCTCCAACTTTCAATTGGTTGCATGTCTCATTTTTAATTTTAGCAATGGTCTTTAATGCACAACCCTACTGGAGCTTTGCCGGTTCGGGTTTATGAGGTTGCTTCTATGTCATGTTCATATGTCTTATCTGGTCACACTGAAATTATTCTATGCCTTGGCACCTGTTATCAACTTCTGGGAGAACAATGATTCTAACTGGAAGTAAAGACAACCGTGTAAGTTTTCTCCCCTTTGATCTCAAGACTATTGAAAAGGATTTTTACATTTTCTTTTATGGGGGATAAAGGGCTTGAGGTGCTTCAGTTAGTGTTAACAACAGGTGCCCTATTAAGTTCAGAGTATGTTTGTAGTGCACTGTGTTAAAGTCTTATAAGTTATATATAGAGATGAGTAAATAAAAAAAATGTCTGTTTGTCAAAAAGGTTAGGTTGTGGGAATCAGAAAGTGAAAACTGCATTGGAGTTGGTATAGGTCATATGGGAGCTGTTGGAGCCGTTGCCTTTTCAAAAAGAAAGCGAGATTTCTTTGTTAGTGGCAGTAGGTGAGTATTGATGCGTTTATACCTATTTTACTCTAAATAGCAAGTATTTATCTATTTTTTTGGTTCTCTGCAAGTTCCTGCATTTTGGATTCCCTTTATCTGGGTTTTTCTTATGTTTAGCAAGAACATTAAAGTTATAACAAGAGAAAAAAATACCATGCACACCGGGGACAGTGTAAAAAAATTTACACTGACATCCAGACACCGTGTATGATAGATAAGTTTGTGACTTTTTCTATAGCTACCTCATAAGTTACAAGGATGGAAGACAATGAGTAACCTTATCTGTTTTGCAATTCCCATGACAACACTTGATTGAAACCAATTGGATTATGTAATTATTGACTTCAAGTTGGTGTAAAGCAGCATTTGAACCTTTTGATGTTTTCCACTCTTACTATTCTGCAGCAGTGATAATTTTATTTTATAAGTTAAAAATTGTGGTTGACCTTCTGTGTGGTGTTTCCCTTTCTTCTAAATATATAGTAGAAGTCGAGTAAAGACAAGCAAATTTTCTATGATTACCAGTATAATTTAATTCACCTTGCCTTATCATTGAATCAATATCAGAAATTTTGTGCTATATTTAATCTTCTGTTCCTTCCCTTTTTGAGTTCACTGAATCATGCAAGACAATATGATTGTTTTTTAAGTGATCATACTCTTAAGGTATGGAGTATGGATGGTCTCTCAGACAATATGACACCTCCAAATGATAGTTTAGTCTGTAGTGGCTCTCAGGTTGGTAATTATATCGGACTTGCCACTTACTTTAGGCTCTTAAATCAAGTATTCTAATTATTTGCAGAAGAAAGAACTGCGAGTTTAGTTGTCTATTTGTTGTTTTATTATAGTGAAGTAAGAATAGTCACTAGCCACTTACACTGGCTACATTCCTTTTCTATTTACTTACACTGGCCAGATTTTAAATTCACAAAGGTTTATTTGCCCTTTCCCTTTGCTGACAAAATATGACATGCAGGTTTGGGCCTTGGCTGTCGGCAGGAAAAGAGAAATACTTGCAACTGGTGGTGGTGATGCCGTTGTTAATTTATGGTTTGATTCCACTGCAGCTGACAAAGAAGAAGCTTTCCATAAAGAAGAGGTTGAGTTAAACCAATCGTTCAATATTGAAACCCTCATATCCTGAAAGTTAAATCGACGATTGTATTTCATGGTTATTCATGATATAATTATTGAAGATCTAATTATTCCTTATTACATAATGCATCACTTTTTATGTTGCTCTTTCTATGTATCTAATACACAAATGAAGGACCAAGAACAGTCACAATCTTGGAAATCATCTAAAAGAAATATCTATCAGTAAAAATCATTAGGTCCGTTGTTTGGTTGTTAAGGATTTGTTCATTTGTTCATGCTTTTGCTAATGTCAACTGTCTTTTAATTTTCCCCATAACTTTAGGTGAAACTAAAACATATTTAGGTCAAAATTCTTTTTATTAGATTTTTCAAACCAGCATAAAGAGTTAAGTCTATTCAGTCGTAACCAGGAAGGTGTCCACGTCATGGAATAGTCAACCACACGGATATTTATTTTAATGACATGGAGAAGGGATTGAAGAAAAGTTGCCTGCTAGATCTATTTCCTTTGTTCAAATGCTTCATATCGTGGGAGATTGTCCAGATATATTATCACCTGCTTCATATATTTTCACTTTAAAATCACCAGTGCCGCCCTGTGTGTTAGAAAGCATTTTAATGTTTAATGTTAATGCAGGAAGAAGGAGTTCTGAAAGGTCAAGAGCTAGAGAATGCTGTCTCAAATGCGGACTATACTCAAGCAATCCAAATTGCATTTGAACTGCGCAGGCCACATAGGCTTTTTGAGTTATTTGCAGAACTTTGCAGGTTAGCAACAATTTATTAGGTTGCATAAATCTTTTTGGCATACATTTTAACAGCAGAGCAACCCAATTTGGCTCATATAGCAGATGAGCAGGCAGGAATAGAACAATAGTAGCTTCTACAATATAACGAGCTGTAAATAGGGTATCTTTTTTATTCTGAGGTCTATATATATATATATATGTGTGTGTGTGTGTGTGTGCAAGCACTGTGCAACTTTGACATACACACAGAAACATTCATTCTACTGTCACCATTGTTGTGCCATATAGGCACTGTTTTCTACTCCTTTTTATTTTGTTCTTTTCTCTCATAGACGTGACTGATATTTCTGCAGGAAGAGAGAGGCCGAAGATCACATTGACAGAGCACTTAAGGGCTTGGGTGATGAAGAGCTTCGTATTATTTAACTATGCTCGAGAATGGAATACAAAACCAAGGCTCTGTTATGTTTCACAGTCTGTACTTTTCAGAGTTTTCGGCATCTTTCCGCCAACTGATAGTTTTCAGGTGCGTTTTTTTAACCCTTGTAAGTTTCAAGGCTTTGAGCATCCAATCATACATTTCTTTCATATCATGATACTTGATGACTGAGATGCTAGGCCTGATTATTGAATATGGATTTGTACTTCTTATAATCCTTCTTAGATTTACTTGTTTTGGCGTTGTGCTACCTTTATTTTGTTATATCTCTGCAAGGATTTTATCCTATGTGAAATTTCTTGAAGGGATTTCAGAGTATGAACATTTTTTATGGGTTATTTCAGATTAAAGGGATTGGTGAACTTCTTGAAGGCATTATCCCATATAGTCAGAGGCACTTTGGCAGGATAGACAGACTTGTTAGAAGTACATTTTTATTAGATTACATTCTATCAGGAATGTCAGTTATTGAACAAGAAGTTCAACCGACCGAATCAAGTACAGAGTTACTGCTGCAGTCAAATATTGACGTTCCAGACACAGAAAATGTCATCGAGGAGAAAGATCACACTGCTGAAATTACGGCTTCAAAGAAAAGGAAATCAAACAAATCAAGACATGGTTCCCATAAGAAAGTTAAGAATGTAGCTTTCAACAAGGTAGAGTCTATACAACTACAGGCATAGGATCGGTATACATAATGTTAATTGATCGATGGAAGAGCAGTTTTGATCCATCCAAATTCTGAAATTTTACCGTCATTTGATAATATGTAAGCTGCTTAGCTACTGTAATTGTATCAAATATTCATTATTGAGTAGATTAGTTTTCTGGTCTTTCTCTCAAACGTGATCTAGAAATGTTTCGTCATCTGTCTAACTACAGAAAGTTATTGTATTGAGAGACTACTAAGGCGCTGCAACTACTGCGTGAGTAATTGTTGAATTATTGGCAAGCGTACCAAAATTATCAATCGCAGTATAGTATTTCGATAAAATAAAAGTTGATCCCACGAGGAACAGTTTCAATGAAAATTCCCAATTATGCTTACTAAGTATATTAAACAAAGAGTTGAGTTGAATTTAAATGACAAAGAACTGTAAATTGTTGAGAAAATATCAATTAAAGGTACTTAGGATTGACTTCCTTCCTTATCCCTCTTTTGTAATGACTATGTCAATTAAGAACGTCAATTAACCTAACAATGTTGATGTCACCTACTCAAATCATCTATGTTGATTCCTCACACATGAAATTCATAAGAAAACCTAATAAATGTTATTCCTCACACAATTAACAGATTTTCCAGCATTAGGGTTAGGGTGTTTAAGCAATTGATACATTCATTCCATTTTTGGCAATTAACGTAACAAATATTCTTACCGTGATCTAGGGTTCAAGATATATTTTCCAATCATACCTCAAACAATCAAGAATAAATCATTCCAAAGCATAAAGGATAAGAATAACAACATCAAAGTATAGATTAATATTTCAAAATATCACCATGATACAAAAGAGTTCAAAGGAAGTGCACCAAATCCTAAGAGAATGAAGTTAGCCACTCATGTTGGTCATTACAATGCTCCAATTGATGAAGAAGTGAAGAATTGATGAAGATTGGATAAAACCCTAACAGTAGTCGTGTCTCCTCTCCTCCAAGACTGTTTGTTTTTCTCAAAACACAACTTATCTTTTTATAAGAGAATTTGGGTCGGGCCTCGCATCATTCATTCGCTTAAGCGCTCTTCTTTCTTTCAATTTTACTCCAATTATGCTCCTTACTCTTGTATCAAGGTATTCTCGAATTCATCCTATATTGAGAGAAAAATATATTAGAATTAACATAAGTTAAGTGGTTTCATAACAATTCAAGGCATAATTATATCAACTTTTTACCACTTAACAACTCCCCCCAACCTAGAATCTTGCTTGTCCCAAGCAAAGTAGTTTTTCAAAAACAAAATAATCACCTATTATCTCTTTCTCTTCTAGAACCACAACATAAAAATTTTCAGGGGTGATGCTCACAACTCCAAATGAAAATAGAACACATAAGCATTCAAGTTATAAAAACCAACAAAGAATAATTAGTCCTCAACTATCCTCAGAGAAGCATGATCTCTTAAATAGAGTTATATATACTCATCTCTAATTCTCACAGGTAAGTGTTTATATCATTCAATCATTTCATTTAGACAATCCAATATTGATAATCATCTTCAAGAAATCAACAATTGTTAAACAAGACTTAAATCAAAAGGTCTTTTGAGGCTTGTAATGGGGCTGGGCTAAGAAAGAATTTTTGGTTTTTCTGGGATATACAAAAATATTTGAGAAATTCAACTCATGTGAATGATTCTTGATAACAATTCTTCAAGTCAGGTTTCAAACTTCATGCTTTTGTCCCTACCACAATGACAATGAGTTAATAATCTCACAAGTTATTACCCCCTTTTTACTTCTCTTTTTTTTTTTGCATGTATCCTTTTTTTGGCTTTGCAAATTTTTAAGCTTTGCTTTTCCTTTTTCTTTACACTTTTTTTTAACAATAACACCCCAACAATACCTGTAGGACAACAATAACAATACCTAACAATAAGAAAAATAATGACATTCATACTCATTTCCTTTCTCAAACATAGGAAGGTAGATAAATAGTGTTTAGACTTAAAGGTTCTGTTTAAGAAACAATATTATTTTTTGCTCAGAAAGGGTTCAAATGGATGTCCTATAATTAATGCATGGTTGCCTATTTGGCTCTGGGTTATATCTACTACAAAGAAAAAAAAATGCCTTTATCATTTTCAAGTCTTGCCAACATGCAATCACATCAAAGAATCAACCAATATCAGTTATCATCACAAAGTGTTGACACTCAATTTATCTATTTTTGGTACTCTGCTCACCTGGGTTTTGGCTAGCTTCTCCAATTCAGTTAATTTCTAATTTTCCTCATCAATTCCTTTTCACTATCATACTCAATATCCCAAAATCACTTGTTATTGGAAACAATCAAAATTATTTTTCACGTTCTAGATTTGAATTAGACAATAAACAATAATCTCATATATGACTCTAAAACAAATTATGGGACAACAAGAGAATTCAAAATTTAAAATAAAGCAATTAAAAACATTAAATTAAAAACAAAGGAATTAAAAACATTAAATTAAAAACATTAAAAGCAAAGTAAGTTTTCTCCCTCATTTTCTTCACTTATCATGTACTCCTTATCTTGTGCCTCAGTCTCAGCTGCAGACTTTCTCACCCCTCCAGAAAAGCTGGACTGTCCCCAGGCCATTGAGGTAAGACTTCAAAGTATTGAGGAGAAATGCACTGTGTACCTAGAGCAATCTTGCAAAGAAAAAACCTAAGGAAGAAAAATGCACAAAAAAACTTAAACTGCAAAAAGAAAAAAAAAATTCAAAACATTGGGTTGCCTCCCAGGAGCGCTTGTTTAACGTCTTCAGCTTGACGCCTATTTGTTTTAGAGCTCATGCAAGTGAGTGATCAAGGTGATATATACGCATTCTCCATCCCTTGACTGTTCTTGTGGGAATGAATTTATTCTTTTCATTACGAATAACCTTACGACTGTTAGAGATTGGATAAATCATACCTGCTTCAGGAGGTTTCAGTACCTCTCTTTGAATAACTTTCTTCATAGTCAGACTAAGATGTCTTTGGGGTTGTACAACAGGCTTGTAATCTTGTTTTTCAGTTGAGATGGTTAATTCCTCCAAAGTGTCTATTCTGAGACAATCTTTCTTGTCTTTCGGTTGTTGTACAACTTCAAACAGATTAAAATTATTTTCATCATCTCCACTTCTAATTTTCAACTTGCCCATGCCAACATCTATAATTACTTTGACAATCTTCATAAATGGCCTTCCCAGGATCAATGAGACTTCCTCATTTTCCTCCATGTCCATAATCACAAAATCAACAGGAAATATGAAGTTATCCACTCTAACTAAAACATCTTCTACTACTCTATAAGGAATCTTTACAGATCTGTCAGTTAACTGTAATGTCATTCTTGTAGACTTTACTTCCAAGTCTCCTATTTTTTTAAGCATAGACAAAGGAATTAGATTTATACTAGCACCCAAATCAAGTAATAACTTACCTACTTGTAACGTCCCAATTGTGATTGGTATAGTGACACTTCCAGGATTCTTGGACTTTTGAGGTAATGATTTCTGAATTATAGCGCTGCATCCTGCTTCTAGCTCCACTGTTTCTGCAGTAAATCTCCTTTTCTTAGTTAACAACTCTTTCATAAATTTTGCATAAGTCGACATCAGCTCCATAGCTTCCATAAATGGAATATTAATCTGTAAATGTTTGAAAATATCCATGAATCTTGTGAATTGTCTTTCTTTATCTATCTGGAAAGGATAACGAGGATATGATAAATCTTTCAATTGCGGTATTTGACTCTCATCTTTCTCCCTATTTTTCTCCCTCTTTTTATTTTTCTTTTCTTTTTCAGTATTTTTTTCTTTTTCTATATTCTCTATTTTATTTTCCTCTTTTTTCTCCTTCACACTCATCTTCTTTTTCTTGTAGGATTTCCTTCTCTACAGCCAGATTGTCGCCAATACCTTCTCCTATAACCTTACCACTCCTTATAGTTATTGAATTGCATTGCTCCCTGGGGTTGATTTGTGTATTAGCTGAAAATTGTCCTCCTTGCTGCTGCAGATAGTTGCTTAGCTAGTTAGCCTATCTGAATCTCTATATTTCTTAATGAAGCCTCAGTATTTTTCTGATTAGTCATAGTGCCTTGCATGAATTTTTCTAAAGTATCCTCCAATTTACTTATTCTGTCAGACACTAAAGGATAATGTTGTTGCTGCTGTTGATATGGAGGTTGCTGATATAACTGTTGTTGAAATGCATGTTGTCTAGTAGATGAGCTAACACCTTGGTTCCACCCAAAATTCTGATTCTGATTTTGATTCCATCTCCATCCTTGTGCAAAATTATTCTGATAATTATTGGGATTAGGAAAATTGCCTTGACTACTACCTTGGACCCCCATATAATTAGTTTCTTCTTGCTGAATGTTGTCTTGATAAGAACATTGTTCATTTGCATGATTACCTCCACACATATCACAACTCATCTGTTGATTAAGAATAGATTGTACTGTGTGCATTTGTTGAGGTAATTTCTCTATCTTCTGGTTCAATACTTCAATTTGTTGCGTTATAAGTTTATTCTGGGCTAAGATAACATCTGAGCTGTTAAGTTCAAGTACTCCCTTCCTTTGAATTGGATGTCTATCATGTTGGGCCTGTTGGTCTATAAAGGCTAGTGCATCAATAATTCTGGTGGCATGATCAATTTATACATCCAACATAGATCCTCCTGCTGCAGCCTCTAATAACATCTTTGCATCATATCGCAAGCCAATATAGAAAATATTCAACTAAGAAACGCCATCAAATCCATGATTTGGATAACTTCTCAACAGTGATTTAAATTTCTCCCATGCTTCACAAAATTGTTCATCTGCTCCTTGTCTGAAAGAAGTGATGTCAGATTTTGCTTTGATGTAACGGGATGGTGAGAAAAATCTATTCAGAAACTTCTCTTCTACACTACTCCAATTAGTCAGACTCTGATTAGGATGTGCTTTCAGCCATTCCTTTGTCCTACCTGCCAAAGAAAAAGGAAATAATATCAAATATGCATATTCAAGATTTGCTGCTCTAAATCCCATGATACCAATCAACTCATAAAAAGTAGACAAATGAATATAAGGGTCTTCATGATCCAATCCAGTGAATTGATGAGCACTAATCAAGCTTAAGAAAGATGGATTCATCTGCGATGTATGATCATCCAGAATGACAATACTGAAAAAATATCTTGGACCTTGCTGCATAGCACAATTTCTAAGAGTTCTTCTAGGTGGATTTGCATTTTGGGTTTTGATTTAGATTTATATTGGGATCTGGATTTGGATTCAAATTTATTCTTTCTTCCGTCATATCTTCTATAATTGGGTCTGGTAAATCAAGTGTGAAAGAAGAATTAACAGATTCTCTTGTGGCTTGTTCTTGAGTTTCCCTTCTTCTTCTACCCCGGTTCCTCCGAGCTATTTTTTTTTTTCAATCTTTGGATTAAATTCTAACCGCTTCTGAATATACATGTCCTCTTAAACGCATAAATCAAAAGAGTAACTCAAGAAAATATTAGCACAAACTAAAAACTAAATATAAATAATAATAATAATAATAGTAATAGTAATAGTAATAGTGATAGTGATAATGATAATAGTAATAATAATAATAATAATGATAATAATAATAATGATAATAATAATAATAATAATAATAATAATAATAATAATAATGATAATGATAATAATGATAATGATAATAATGATAACAATAGTAATAATGATAATGATAATAATAATAATAATGATGATAATAATAATAATAATAATAATGATAATAATGATAATAATAATAATGATAATAATAATGATAATAATAATAATAATAATAATAAAAATAAAAATAGAAATAAAATCAAAATACTCAATAAGCTAAACAAAGAATTCTCAAATAACACCGTTTCCCGGCAACGGTGCCATAAATACTTGTTAAATTATTGGCAAGCGTACCAAAATTATCAATCGCAGTATAGTATTTCGATAAAATAAAAGTCGGTCCCACGAGGAACAGTTTCAATGAAAATTCTTAATTATGCTTAATAAGTATATTAAACAGATTGGGTTTTGCAAATAAGAGTTGAGTTGAATTTAAATGACAAAGAACTGTAAATTGTTGAGAAAATATCAATTAAAGGTACTTAGGATTAACTTCCTTCCTTATCCCTCTTTTGTAATGACTATGTCAATTAAGAACGTCAATTAACCTAACAATGTTGATGCCACCTACTCAAATCATCCATGTTGATTCCTCACACATGAAATTCATAAGAAAACCTAATAAATGTTGATTCCTCACACAATTAACAGATTTTCCAGCATTAGGGTTAGGGTGTTTAAGCAATTGATACATTCATTCCATTCCTGGCAATTAACGTAACAAATATTCTTATCGTGATCTAGGGTTCAAGATATATTTTCCAATCATACCTCAAACAATCAAGAATAAATCATTCCAAAACATAAAGGATAAGAATAACAACATCAAAGCATAGATTAATATCTCAAAATATCACCATGATACAAAAGAGTTCAAAGGAAGTGCACTGAATCCTAAGAGAATGAAGTTAGTCACTCATGTTGACCATTACAATGCTCCAATTGATGAAGAAGTGAAGAATTGATGAAGATTGGACAAAACCCTAACGATGAGTCGTGCCTCCTCTCCTCCAAGACTGCTTGCTTTTCTCAAAACACAACTTATCTTTTTATAAGAGAATTTGGGTCGGGCCTCGCATCATTCATTCGCTTAAGCGCTCTTCTTTCTTTCAATTTTACTCCAATTATGCTGACAATTATATGCTCTTACTCTTGTATCAATGTATTCTCGAATTCATCCTATATTGGAAGAAAAATATATTAGAATTAACATAAGTTAAGTGGTTTCATAATAATTCAAGATATAATTATATCAACTTTTTACCACAGCGATTGCAACAAATTTGACCGCCAAAATTCTGGTAATGTTCGATTCCTTGATCCTAGTATTAGATTTAATATATAAGGGAAAAACTATCATTCAGAAAGATTATCATCGTCTTTTTATATTCTGAATGTGTTAACAATAATATAAAACCGGATTTATTTGCTGTTTGGCTGTAAAACTTTCCAACTCTAAGTATCTTTTATGTATTTTTGCGTCTGAAAGAGTATATTGCTTATAGTGCTAAACAAATATTGATATGGTCATGGTCCGTGTCCTGCTTCTTCAGCATTTCAATACAAAATGGATTGAGCATGAGGGAAGTTCAGATATATTATTGGTAAGCATTGCACGCATATTACAAATTTTATTTCTTTTGGTGACCAGAGATGAAACAGCAAAACAAAAGGCTTTTAAAGAAGGTCGAAAGCCTTCAGTCTATTTAAAGAAGATTACAGTTACAACTGGTAAACTTTTAGTTAAAATTCAACATTTTTTAACCCATATGAAAGTCTTTTTAACTTGAATGGCCATGGCCAGTCACTTTCGTCGTCTTCTTAGTGATACCATTATAGTCCAGCATGCACTTTAGTCTATTTACAATTTATATAATTAAATAATTCAGTTAGAACTTAAACTTGATATTTTTCAAGTAAATTTAAACTAATTATTTTAAGTTCAGTTCTTAGAATTCTTAAAATTGTGATAACTTGTAATATTTTAGTAGTTTTAAGTTATCTGACTTACTTTTTAGGTTTAGGGTGTAGTTTTGTTTTAAGTACTTTTTATTCTAAAACCAATTACTTATTTTTGTCTGGTAATTATTTTTTAATGAGTTTTATATTGCAATCATACATCCACTCATCTAATTTTTTTCAATCTTTATTCTTTATTATAAAACTAATTTATTATTTTAAAATTTAAATTAAAAATAGAAAATAATGGATGGTGGGGGATGGTTGAAACTTGGAGGGTGTATATCAAACCTTTTCCAAAATAATTTGTTAGGAACGTGCAGCCACCACCAGGAAGGGCGAGGCAGGAGTTATATTATAAGGGAACTTCACTTGCATTGTTATTCCATTCCCACGGAAGCGACATGTCTGGATCTGAAACGGAAGTAGCAGCAGGTCAGAGGTACCGGGTGGGTTATGCTCTCCAACCCAACGAAATGGAAAGCTTCATCCAACCCTCCCTCCTCGATTACGCCAAACAACGAGCCATCGATCTTATCCAAATCGACTTCTCCACACCCTTACAAAAACAAGGTCCCTTCCACTGCATCATCCACAAAATCCGCACCCAACGCTGGAAAAACCACCTCCATAAATTCGTAGTCGCACACCCAAACACCAGAATCATCGACCCCCCCAAGTTCATTTATCGCCTCGAGGATCGTTATAAAAGGGTCCCGCAAACGGTGATCAAGGACTTAGAAAATCTCGGTAATGACACCGTTCGTACTGCCGACCAAGCATTTATAGTAAGACCCCACAATCTCGACCATATCGAAGAATGGAACTTCACATTCCCCATAATCGCAAAACCGTACGAAGCTGACGGCGGCGCTGGCTCTCACGAGATGTGCCTGGTTTTCGACTACGACGGAATCAGGACGCTGAGCCTTCCCCGGGTGCTGGAAGAATTCGTCAATCATGGTGGGGTTGTGTTCAAGATTTATGTTGCTGGGCGGCGCGTGAATTGCGTGAAGTGCAAAACTTTGGGTGATATACCCGAAGAGGGGCTGGGACCGTTAAAAGGGGTTCTGCCATTATCTAGTGTATTGAACTCGGGCGAAGATCAGGATGACGCCGTCGAGAAAGCTGAAATGCCGCCGCAGAGTTTGGTGGATGAGTTATCGAACTCGGTAAGGGAGGTCACGAGACTTAACGTTTTCAAGGTTAATCTGATGAGAGATGTTAAGGAACCGACAAGGTATGTTCTTATTGATATCAAATACTTTCCCGCGTATGCAAAAATGCCCTCTTATGAGCCGTTTATCACTGATTTTTTGTTCGATGTTGTGACCACCGAGCCTGAGGAGCCCGAGTATGACAAATATACGACTTTGAACATAATTCCGTCTCCATAACAATAATTTTCATATAATTTATATGATGTGTAATTTCATATAATTTATGATTTTAACATTTTTTTCATGCAGTATTTCACTTCTTCCTCTTTTTATATTTGTATGTTTCTCAAGTCATCATCTACTGCAGTGTGCAGTGCCCTTGCTAAAACCTGGTTTGCTACCATGATGTTAAATGCATAGCTTTCGTTTTTGCTTGGATAACCGGATTGGTATGACTCTTTCCCTTCGTTTTGGACAACAAAATCACGCATTCACATTTTCCCAAGTTTTACAACACTATTTGATAAAAAATATAATTGTCCATGAAAAAAGCAGAAACCTCGTTGATTTTTAAGTACGATAAATGTCAGTCTCATTAATCCTTAGGGATCCATTTTTAGGGTCAAGAATTTTTTACTCCCAAAAGCTATGCCTCCACGTCGAAAGATGCATGATTAAAAATTTAGGTATATTGATATACCCACTAACTAAGAGTTGCTTCAGAATCTGATTCTATGCTTTGGCACTTCATGTATGTGCTTTATTCTACTACAGATAAACAATCACCGTGAATTTTCATTCGTCTACAATAAAAAAGAAAAAGTTTTAGCCATACATTGAAGAACAATTGCCCATCCTCATGTGGCAGCTGTGATAAGCATGTCCATACTCTTGAGCACTTCATTCTTGATATTCATTGTAAGTTAATAAGGTCTAATTAATTACAGATTCACTAAGATAAAAAAGTTCATTAACAACATGAGACTCCGGGAACTGAATTTGTGAAAATATCATGCTATTTGCTTAATTCACTAGTGCAGAAAAGGGTTTTTACGTTACCCAATTGTCGTCGCATGTAAAAATATTCGACGTAAATAAAACGCGGTGACAATTTTGTAAATAAGGAACAAAACTTTTACATCGCACACCCCAGCACGCGACGTAAAAAGCCTCTTTTATGTCGCACCTGGGTGGCGCGACGTAAAAGAAGGGCTTTTACGTCGCGCCACCCAGGTGCGACGTAAAAAAGGGCTTTTTACGTCGCGTGCTGGGATGCGCGACGTAAAAAGTCTCTTTTATTCCCTCCCTGGCACACTCCCTCGTCTCGCGCAAGCAAGGTTTTTGAGAACGACGACAACAGTTACCTCTGCACACCATTTTCGATCAGTTTTACAGTGAAAAACATCTACATTGTGTGTCATTTGACGAACTTGATATTTCTCCCCGATTGGATTCGAGTTTGAAATCATTTTTCGTCTACACTCGAGGTTAGTGTTCTATGTCATTGCTATATGTTTACATTGAATCCGTGATTGTTTTTGGGGATCTCAATCACGTTATAGTATGAATGTCTCCACTGTATTGTTATTGGAATGTAATTATTTGTTTATTTGTTTGAGTGCATTCGGTTTACACACTCCATTGTTGTTGGAACGTGCTTTGTTGTTTGTATATTAATTTCTTTTTACATATAATTTTTAAATCTCTAGGAGTGACGAAATTTTATAACATAATATGAATCGAAGTTGGATGAATGCACGTCGTATTAGTGAAGAGTACGAAAAGGGAGTTGAGGAATTTTTGAAATTTGCTAGTGAAAATGGAAAAGCTATGAAAGGGACATATTATTGTCCATGTGTTCGTTGTTTGAATCAAATTCGTCATAAACTTGAGGACATACGTGATCACTTATTTGTTTATGGTATTATTAAGAGTTATACAATATGGACATGACATGGAGAAATATTAGACATCCCAACTGTGTCAACTACAGACAATTTTGATGAAGGGATGGATGATAATCTAGAGGATATGATACATGATATTGGTGAAGAAAATTTTATGAAAGCACATCTATATGATTCTTTGAAATCTGATTTTGCGCAACAATTGTACATAGGATGTAGTTTTACAAGATTATCAGCAACTTTAAAATTGTTTACTTTAAAAGCAAGAAATGGATGGACTGATAAAAGTTTCACCGAATTATTGGAGTTGTTGAAGGAGATGCTTCCTGAAGATAATACATTACCTATTCGTAACTATGAGGCAAAGAAGATATTATGTCCAATGGGTTTAGAGTACAAGAAAATACATGCATGTCCTAATGATTGTATATTGTACAGAAATGATTTTGCTAAATTAAAGATGTGTCCGACATGTGGCTTGTCGAGGTTCAAAAACAAAGTTGAGGAAAGTAGTGGTGAGGAAGAACTAGATGGTCCCCCTGCTAAGGTGTTATGGTATTTGCCAATTATACCTAGGTTTAAAAGATTATTTGCCATAAAAGAAGATGCAAGAAACTTGACATGGCATGCAAATGGTAGAAAATGTGACAATCTTCTTCGACATCCAGCTGATTCTCCACAATGGAAAAGGATTGATGAAACCTTTCCAGAATTTGGTGCAGAGCCAAGAAACTTGAGAATTGGATTAGCTACAGATGGGATGACTCCTTATGGAAATTTAAGTAGTAAACATAGTTCATGGCCAGTTATGTTGATCATTTACAATTTGCCTCCTTGGTTATGCATGAAGAGAAAATATATGATGTTATCTATGATGATTTCAGGACCTCGACAACCAGGAAATGACATAGATGTATATCTTAGTCCTTTAATTGATGATTTGAAGATGTTGTGGGAAACAGGAGTGGATGTATTTGATTCATATCACGAAGTGAATTTCAGGTTGCGTGCAATGTTATTTTGTACTATAAATGATTTTCCAAGCATATGGTAATTTGAGCGGTTATAGTGTGAAAGGTCATTTAGCGTGTCCTTTATGTCAAGAAGACACAAGTTATATCCAATTGAAACATGGACAAAAAACTGCGTACAATAGGCATAGAAAGTTTCTAGTTGCTAATCATCCATATCGTAAAATGAAGAAAGCATTTAATGGATGTCGGGAGAATGCAATTGCATCGAGTACCACGCAATGGTGAACAAGTCTATGAGCAAGTGAAAAATATTAATATTGTGTTTGGAAAGACCCAAAAGAAATCCAATGAGAAAAACATTTGGAAGAAACAGTTTATATTCTTCAATCTTCCTTATTGGTGTAAGTTGGAAGTTAGACACTGTATAGATGTGATGCATGTTGAAAAAAATGTTTGTGATAGTATAATTGGGACATTGCTTAACATAAAAGGAAAGACAAAAGATGGAATAAAAGCAAGACAAGATTTGGCAGACATGGGTATACGTTCTGAATTACATCCACAATCAGTTGGAAAACGCACTTACTTACCTCCAGCTTGTCATACTCTATCAAAGAAAGAAAAGAGAAGCTTTTGTGAGTGTTTACGTGAGGTCAAAGTGCCACAAGGATACTCCTCAAATGTTAAGAGTCTTGTGTCTATGCAAGAGTTGAAATTAGTTGGTTTAAAGTCTCATGATTGTCATGTGTTGATGCAACAACTTTTACCAGTGGCTATTCGAAACATCTTACCAACTTCTGTTAGAATTGCTATTACTCGGTTATGTTTGTTTTTCAACGCCATTTGTAAAAAGGTAATTGATCCAAAAAAGTTAGATGAATTAGAAAATGAAGCAATTGTAATAGTGTGCCAGTTAGAAATGTATTTTCCCCCTTCATTTTTTGATATCATGTTGAGAGATACATGAAGATCTTAAAAGGATATGTGAAGAATCAGTACAGGCCAGAAGCTTCTATTGTGGAAAGGTACATTGCAGAAGAAGCCATTGAGTTTTGTCAAGGATACATGTCAAAATCAGAACCAATAGGTATTCCTAAGATGAGACATGATGGAAGATGTGAAGGTAAGGGTACTCGAAATTTAAAGATTAAAAATGTTAGTCGGAAAGAAGTTGACCAAGCACATTTATACATATTGAACAACACTGATGAAGTAATCCCTTACATATCACAACACATAACTGAAATAAAGGCAACACATCCACGAATGAATGAAAAATGGGTATTGAATGAACATAACAAAAGTTTCCTTTCTTGGTTTAAAAAAAGGGTATATGTTGAGATTAATGCTTCAGAAACACTTTTGAGACTTGCTCGTGGGCCTAATAGTGATGTCATTACATTTGGTGGGTATGACATTAATAACTATTGTTTCTACTCAAAAATAGAAGATGATAAAGGTAGAGTACAAAATAGTGGGGTCACAATTCAAGCTGAATCTATGCATTTTTCTAGTTTTAAAGACGAAAATCCTATCACAGCTTCTATGAGTTATTTTGGGGTCATACAAGAGATATGGGAAATTGATTATGTTACTTTTAGGGTGCCTGTCTTCAAGTGTAAATGGGTTGAAGGGAATACGGGTGTGCGAACAGATGACCTAGGATTTACTTTGGTTGATTTGAGTAAAGTTGGGTATAAGGATGAACCTTTTATTTTGGCATATCAAGCAAGACAAATATTTTATGTCAAGGATCCATGTAATGAAAGATGGTCAATTGTCCTTGAAGGAAGAAGCATGCACGGAATTCATGAAGATGAGTCTCTAGATATACATGAAACACCTTCATTTTCAAGTAGACCATTTGATGACATAGTTGACAATGAAGTTGATGACATACATGCAATTCGAAGTGATCATGATGAAGGGATATGGGAAAACATACCAACATAATAGGTGTTTATCTTCACATTTTCTAGTTCTTTTTATTCAAACTTATAAAGTATGTTGACTTTATATTGTTTTGTTTTTCAGGGATATGTCGGATTCCACAAGCTGGTACCTGGTAGTGGTAGTGGCGGTAGCGGGAGCGGAAGTGGTGATAAAGGTAGATCTGTCACTCGGTTAAAGGGGTTGACAGCAAGGAGGGTAGCTAGAGAGAAAACTCAAGTTGAAATTGATCCATGTTCTGGTAAGGCATCTGGCCCAAATGCTTGCTAAGTTTAAGAGCTATTTGGGACTACTAGCTCGACACCATGTTCCGATTACTACTCCATCTTGGGATGATGTAGAGGAAACCGAGAAGAACCTCATGTGGCGGGATGTTCAGGTATTTCTATATTTGTTGAATACTTTA